AGGAACACTTGTGCACTGCTGGTGGGAATGCAGACTGGTGCAGCCACTATGGAAGACAGTATGGAGTTTCCTCAAAAAACTAAAAATGGAACTCCCATTTGACCCTGTGATCCCACTTCTAGGAATATATCCCAAGAAACCAGAAACACCAATCAGAAAGGATATATGCACCCCTATGTTCATAGCAGCACAATTCACCATAGCTAAGATCTGGAAACAGCCTTAAGTGCCCATCAGTAGATGAATGGATTAGGAAACTGTGCTACATCTACAGGATGGAATACTATGCTGCTGTAAAAAAGAAGGAACTCTTACCATTTGCAACGGCATGGATGGAACTGGAGAGCATTATGCTAAGTGAAATAAGCCAGTCAATGAAGGAAAAATACCACATGATCTCACACATTCATGGATAATAGAGACCATTATAAACTTTTGAACAATAATAGATACAGAGGCAGAGCTGCCTCAAACAGATTGTCAAACTGCAGTGGGAAGGCCGGGGAGGGTTGGGGGGCAGGAGGGAGGGGGGGTAAGAGATTAACCGAAGGACTTGTATGCATGCATATAAGCATAACCAATGGACATAGACACTGGGGGGTAGGGGAGGCCAGGGGATTGTCAAGGGCGGGGGAAAAAAGGACACATATGTAATACCCTTTGTAATACTTTAAGCAATAAAAAAAATTAAAAAAAACACAAGTGAATCTAAGAATCAAGTGAATAAATAATCTGATGTACAGAATGAACTGGTGATTATAATGAATCAGGTACATAGAAAGGGAATGGACTGACTATTCTTGGGGGGGAAACGGCTGTGGGAGATGCGGGAAGAGACTGGACAAAAATCGTGCACCTATGGATGAGGACAGTGGGTGGGGAGTGAGGGCTGAGCGTGGGGCGGGAACTGGGAGGAGGGGAGTTATGGGGGAAAAAAAAGAGGAACAAATGTAATAATCTGAACAATAAAAATTTAATTTAAAAAAAAAGAAAGAGAGATTTTTTAAAAAATCCCATTTACCATTTCACCAAAAAATTTAAGATACCTAGGAATACACTTAACTAAGTTTGTAAAAGACCGGTACTCGGAAAACTACAAGACACTGAAAAAAGAGATAGAGGAAGACATAAACAGGTGGAAGGACATACCGTGTTCATAGATTGGTAGAATCAACATCGTTAAAATGTCCATACTACCTAAAGCAATCTATAGATTCATTGCACTCCCCAGTAAAATACCAATGGAATATTTCACAGATGTAGAAGGACCTCTCCAAAAATTCATCTGGAATAAAAAAAAAAAAAACACAACAACAACAACAAACCAAATAGCTGCAGAAATCCTGGGAAAGAAAACAAAGTAGAAGGGATCTCAATACCACATATCAAGCTATGCTACAAAGGCACAGTTCTCAAAACTGCCTGATACTGGCACAAGAACAGACATATCAACCAATGGAATAGGATAGAGAACCCAGAAATCGACCCAAATCACTATGCTCAATAAATATTTGACAAAGGAGGCAAGTGCATACAATGAATTCAAGACAGTCTCTTCAAAAAATGGTATTGGGAAAATTGGACAGCTACATGCAAAAAAATGAAACTAGACAGCCAACTTACACCATACGCAATAATAAACTCAAAATGGATAAAGGACTTAAACATAAGGCAAGACAACAAAAGAGCAGCGGTTCTCAACCTGTGGGTCGTGACCCCTTTGGTGGTCGAATGACCCTTTCACAGGGGTAGCCTAAGACCATCGGAAAACACATATATAATTACATATTGTTTTTGTGATTAATCACTATGCTTTACTTATGTTCAATTTGTAACAATGAAAATACATCCTGCATATCAGATATTTACATTACGATTCATAACAGTAGCAAAATTACAGTTATGAAGTAGCAATGAAAATAATTTTATGGTTGGGGGTCACCACAACATGAGGAACTGTATAAAAGAGTTGCGTCATTAGGAAGGTTGAGAACCACTGTCTTAGAGGATTCCACAGGCAGCAAAATCTCAGACATATGCTGAAGCAATTTCTTCACTGATACAGCTCCTAGGGCAATGAAACTAAAGAGAAAATAAACAAATGTGACTACATCCAAAAGAAAAGCTTCTGCACAGCAAAAGAAACTATAACCAAAACAACAAGAAAGCCCACTGCATGGGAGAACATATTTGCCAACGTTATCACTGATAAGGGTTTAATCTCCAACATTTACAGAAAACTCATACAACTTAACAAAAGGAAGATAAACAACCCAATCAAAAAATGA